ATAATTAACAATTAGACAATTAATATTAGAAATAGTAATATTACTAATAACAACAAATAATAGCAATTTGACATTTAATAATAATAATAATAATGATAATAATAATAAATAAGGAAATTAATAATAACAATAATCAATATTTATTCCCAATTAATCCACGATAAAACGGGGTATTACAGCGGCACCCGTCACGCGGCTATCAAAAGTTTTTTCGTCGTCATCCGCTATCAAGGCCGCGGTCTTCATGTCCTCGGGAAGGGCCAACCGCTCGAACTTTATATCCCGGATGGCCTCAAGATCCTTCAAGCGTTTTCCCCCTTGTTTCATCGCGTGAATTACCCATTTCAGTCCAAGGGCCGCGTTCAAGTCCATGTCTGCTAAGAATTTGTTCGTCTTGTTGTACTCGGCTAGCCCGGCCAGATGACCCTTTTCAAAACCCACATCAAACGATCCCCGAGGTTCGCCCGCCTTAGATAGTTCGGCCCGGAGTCTCTCCTGTTCGGACGTGGCAACATCCCTTTCCCGCTCGGTCGCTGCCAATTTCTGGTCAACCTCTTGCACCCTAAGCTTGGCGGCCGAGAGCTCTTGCTCGGCAATCTCAAATCGCTTTTTGCCCTCCTCCACCTGGGCCATCAGCTTAGCTTCTTCCAACCGGGCAACTTTCAGCTCCCCCTCGAGCTCTACAATTCTGGTCTTCAATAGGTCAGCACGCTTAACATCGTCCTGCAACATATGGATCTTCTCTATACACAAGGCATGATCGGTCGTCAATCGAGCGAGTTCAAAACCCATCTTGCGAAACTCCGCCATGGCCACCGCTTGCATACAGGGCGCACGCGTAATATTACCGGCCGAATGCTCGAGTTTTTCTATCGGAGAGAGGCCCTGAGCGACTTGCTCGATGGGTGCGTCCCACCCCAACAAAGGCACCATGGCCGAATCCAGTACATGCGGTGGCCAGTTCCCAAGATTGGGAACGTGCGGATTTCCCACCGATCTGAAACGAACGAACCAATCTTCAGCAATCCCCTTCAGACGTTCGGCACGGGCGGCCATTGATGGATCGATCCGCAGATATGTATCCGAACCGTCTTGGTGAATCGACGCGTCTTTCTCCTTCGAAAACACACTTTCCACGGTTCGATCGAACGCATCTGCAGAGGATCCCTGCTCACGCACAACAATTGATGTCAGTCTCTTAGGATGCAAATTTTCTTCGGTCTCAGCCGGACGTTTACGGTTACTCGAACGGAGGTCCAACGATCAGTCCTCATCCTCCTCGGCAGACGATACAACCACAGCTGCATTCGGGTCAGGGACCACCTCCTTCAGAGCTTTCTGTTGGGCCGCCCTCATTTTCTCTATCATAATCAAACGATCCATCTCTTCTCTCAACTCTGACTCCTTTTGTTTTTCTTTGGAACTTGATGCGACCTTCTTCCCTTTCAATTTTGTGGCGGTTCTCTTCGCCCCAGCGTCTGTGGCTACCCCTTTGAGATTATCTAGTGGATAGAAAGCTGAAACCAAATCGGACAGTCACAATTAACGGGATGTTTAAACACGACAAAAGGGAAGAAGGAACAATTGAAAAAGGAATAAACAAACTTACTAGGGCTACACGAGGGTTCAACACTCCCAGAACAGAGTCCGGTGCTGAAGAGATAGAGTCCTCCACAAGACTTGGCCTAGTCCGTTCGATCTCGCTCAGCGTCAGAAGCTCCGTGAGTTGGTGGACGAATGTGTCTCCTAACTCGGGCACGAATTTGTGGTTGGCTGAAATAACGAACTCGCCCTGTTAGTACAGACAGAAAACAAGTATAATCAGAGCAATCGGATAAAGAGAAAGGGATTAAACTCACAAATTTGAGATACGAATCTAGTAGGGACGGTTAGGAAGTCGGATGCTCCAGAATCCTCAGATAATCTGGGCGTCTGCCAACCACGTCCGACCCAAAACCACGAATTCCTAAACTTGCTAAGAGTCTCGGGAACCTTCGTAATTAAATCCTTGAACCGCGCATCCCTCACGGACACCGAGAACTGTCCGTATTTCTTTCGAGTCTCCTTTATCAAGAAAAGCGCTCGTATATCGTCGCAGTTCGGCATTTCCCAACCTCGCCCCGGCCGGATGGCAGTCGCTTGGTTGTTTTTGTTTTTTTTT